TTCCGAGGCTATTTGACTTTAACAAGTACCTGGTGTTTTGGTCCGTGACTCGGCAGTATTCGCCGCTGCTCGGACCCTCGCAGTGCCAAAGGTACGTCTTTCATTGCAGAGGGAAGGTCTACATTGCAATAGAATAAATGAAAACGGAAATATCCAGGAAATAGGATAAAAAAGAAATACATCGAATATTTTATATCTTAGTCTTTATAAATACTGATGAAATTAATCCGATATTTTACAGCATTATATACCACAAAAAAAAAAAAAAAAAATTGCCATTCGGTTAAACAACCTGACATAATCCACCACGAACTTTTCTCCTTTCCCGACACCACGGGACAATGTCACAGTCCCCCCCCCCCCCCCTAAAAGGTTGTCTTCAGGTGACAGCCAACAAGAGCAGACTCCTTCAGGCGACGCTACAGGCTGAAGGTGAAGGCCGATGTGGGACCTGTTACACTTTACCATTCATTTCTATCTCCTCACCTTCTTGTTTTGATACCATTTTATTTCCTCTCATCGCGGACGTATTTCAACCAACCACGCGAGAGATAAATAAGAGATCCTGAACCGCGGTAAACTATGACCCAACAGGATAGGAGCCTCGGGTATCACGGGGAGATGAGGTGTGGGCTTACAGATGACAGTGTAGATTTACAGGATGTGATATGAGCCTATACACCGCGGTGCCTCGCTCACCGGCCTCCGCTTAGCCGTTCGCGAGAGCCTCCCCTCCATCCTGCCAATAACACAAACAATAACAGATTCTCCTGACTCTCCTATTTTCCTTCTCTCTGACATCCTTTCCAACACAGATTCTCCTATTTTCCTTCTCTCTGACATCCTTCCCAACACAGATTCTCTATTTTCCTTCTCGACATCCTTCCCAACACAGATTCTCCTATTTCCTTCTCTCTGACATCCTTCCAACACAGATTCATTCCTTCTCTGACATCTTCCCACAGATTCTCCTATTTTCCTTCTCTCTGACATCCTTCCCAACACAGATTCTCCTTCTGTTCTTCTCTCTGACATCCTTCCCAACACAGATTCTCCTTCTATTTTCCTTCTCTCTGACATCCTTTCCAACACAGATTCTCCTTCTATTTTCCTTCTCTCTGACATCCTTCCCAACACAGATTCTCCTTCTAATTTCTTTCTCTCTGACATCCTTCCCAACACAGATTCTCCTTCTATTCTCCTTCGCTCTGACATCCTTCCCTACACAGATTCTCCTTCTATTTTCCTTCTCTCTGACATCCTTTCCAACACAGATTCTCCTTCTATTTCCTTCTCTCTGACATCCTTCCAACACAGATTCTCCTTCCCTTCTCTGACATCCTTCCCAACACAGATTCTCCTTCTATTTTCCTTCTCTCTGACATCCTTCCCAACACAGATTCTCCTTCTATTTTCCTTCTCTCTGACATCCTTCCCAACACAGATTCTCCTTCTATTTTCCTTCTCTCTGACATCCTTCCCAACACAGATTCTCCTTCTATTTTCCTTCTCTCTGACATCCTTCCCAACACAGATTCTCCTTCTATTTTCCTACATCCTTCCAACACAGATTCACATCCTCCCACAGATTCTCCTTCTATTTTCCCTTCTCTCTGACATCCTTCCAACACAGATTCTCCTTCTATTTCCTTCGCTCTGACATCCTTCCCAACACAGATTCTTCTATTTTCCTTCTCTCTGACATCCTTCCCAACACAGATTCTCCTTCTATTCTCCTTCGCTCTGACATCCTTCCCAACACAGATTCTCCTTCTATTCTCCTTCGCTTTGACATCCTTCCCAACCTTCCCCATACGAAATTGATGACACGCACCGCATAGCAAAATAAAACCATAATAAAAAATACCTCTCTTTCCTAATCGACTTATACAGAATATATAACTCGACTCTTTGCAAGCTGTTAAGACACAGGTCAGGTCATGGGGGTCAGAGAGGAAACCGCAGAACCGTCGTTGAAAGTGTTATAGATAACTTACGCTCTCATAGAACGTTATTCGGGGGTAGAAATAGAGCATCGTTGTAGTTCTCTCTCTCTCTCTCTCTCTCTCTCTCTCGAGGCTCATCCTGTGGGAGTCGGACATGCCACGGTTAAGGACAAAGGTGAAGGAGAGGAAGGAGGAGACGGAGAGAGAGAGAGAGAGAGAGAGAGAGAGAGAGAGAGAGAGAGAAGAGAAGAGATAAAAAGAGAAGAAAAGAAAGAGAGAGTAGAGAAGAGAAGAGATAGAGAGAGAAGAAAAGAAAGAAAGAGATAGAGATAAGGAGAGAGAGGAGAAGAAAAGAAAGGGAGAGAGAGTAGAGAAGAGATAGAAAAGAGAAGAAAGTGAGAGAGAGAAAGAGAGAAGTGAGAGAGAAAGAGAAATGAGAGAGAGAGAAAAAGAGAAAAAAAGAGAATAGATAGAGAGAGAAGTGATAAAGGGAAAGGTTAAGGGCCAGAGAAGGAACGGCGAAGAAGATTAAGGAGACAGTTGAAAGAAATGCCAAAGAGAAGACAAACCATAAAAGGAAGAAATTTAAATGAATAAGAAAAAAAAACTTTGTGAATCCTTAAAAAAAAGAAAAAAAAAAAGCAAACAGGCCATCACCCAAAATAGACAAAAATAAAATGGAAAAAAAACGTGTCAAAGAAAAACTTCCCAATTTAGCGAAAGAAGGAGAAAGAGAGAGAGAAAAAATAGGGGGTGGGGAGACATAGAAAAGAAGAGAGAAGAAAAAAAGAGAGAGAGAAAAAAAACGAAGATAAAAAATAGGGGGTGGGAGACAAAAAAAAAAAAAAAAAAAAAAGATGAAAAAAAGAGAGAGAGAAAAAAAAAACGAAGAGGATTTACCCAAACAAAAATCACCTTCCCCCTTCCCCCCTTCCCTCCCCCCCCCCCCCTCCCCCCTCCATGTACACCACTTGTACACTCCTCCCTGCTAATCTCAAGCTTGACCAAAGACACCTCTTACTCAGACAGGTGCACGGGGCAGTCCTTTTCAATCTGATACGTGCACTCAACACGCCCAGGCACACCCTCTCCCCCCCCCCTCTCTCATAACCCCCAACATACCCCCAACATATCCCCAAATACCCTTCGATTCCACTTTTTCTTTTTATGTGTCGAATTCTCCTCTCTTTCTTTATGTTTGTCTGTGTGTATGTTTCTCTCTCTCTTCTCTTTCTCCTACTCCTTCTCTTTCTTTCTCTCTCTCTCTCTCTCTCTCTCTCTCTCTCTCTCTCTCTCTCTCTCTCTCTCTCTCTCTCTCTCTCTCTTCTTCTCTTTCTCTCTCTTCTCTCTCTTCTCTCTCTCTCTCTCTCTCTCTCTTCTCTGTCTCTCTCTCTCTCTCCATGTCTTCATGCATGTTGCTTGTACATGTCCCCATTCTCCCTCCCCTCCCCCTCCCCCTATCCCCATGAGCATCCTGTGTTTCCATCCTTACCCCCCCCCCCACCCCTAACCCCATCCTCATACCCCTCCACCCATGCAATCTCTCCCCAACTCCCCCAACACTCACCCCCCACCCCCGATACCCCATGTCATCGAAGCACCCCATGTTTCCTCTCCCTACCCCCCCCCAACTCCCAACCCCCACTCCGATGTCATCAAAGCATCCAATGCTTCTTCCCTCCCCCTCCCCCTCCCTTTCCCCACTTCCCTCCCTCTCCCCCCACTTCCCTCCCTCTCCCCACTTCCCTCCCTCTCCCCATCTCTCTCCCTCTCCCCCCACTTTCCTCCCTTCCCTCCCTTCCTTCCCCACTTCCCTCCTCTCCCTTCCTCCCCCCTCCCCCCCTCCCTTGTACACCTACCTTGCCACACCTCAGGGGGTCCAAGAAGCCCTGGGGGGCGGGGGAGGGGGGAGGGGGGGGTGTCAAAAGCCCCCGTGTCTTCAATCGCTGGACATCAACTTAAAGACCAGGCATTTTGACTTTTATTTTGTTGTTGTTGTTGTTGTTGTTGTTTGCTAATGTGTGTTGTGGTTGTCGATTGCTGTTTTTTTATTTGTATTTTCTTTCTCTCATTCTTTTTTCTCTTTCTATTTTTCTCTCTCTCTCTCTCTCTCTCTCTCTCTCTCTCTCTCTCTCTCTCTCTCTCTCTCTCTCTCTCTCTCTCTCTCTCTCTCTCTCTCTCTCTCTTCTTTCTTTCTCTTTCTTCTATTTCTTCTCCGTCTTCTTATTATTATTCCATCAGCTTCTTCTAGAAGCTTATGACCTCTGATAAACAACATCCGGGTCTTTTAACTTTGACATTAAAAAAGGGAAAAAAAAGATTAGATTCATCGTTAATTTTCGTCTAAAATACTCAAATAAATAAACATTTTCTTTTCCTCTTGGTGAACGTAATAAAAAAAAATGCAAATTTAATGAAACGTGATATGAAATTACAACGAAATAAAAAAAAAAAATCTTCGCTTCCATACATTCAGAGGCACTCCGTGTTTCCCTTACCTGCCTACCCCCCCCCCTCCCCTCACCTGTGCCCCTCCACTCTCTCTACCCCCACCCCCTCCTCCTCTAACCCCTCTCCCTCATTCCCTGCCCCCTACCCCCCTGCCCCCCTACCCCCTACCCACGCATCAGTGAATTCGACCTCGTCCAATACGGTGTGAATTCGTACACGGGGAGCGCTTGTCGGAATAAAGAAAAAAAAGAAGAGAGAGAGAGAGAGAGAGGAGGAAAGAGGGAGAGGGAGAGGAAGAAAGAGGGAGTGAGAGGGGGAGAGGGAGAGGGAGAAGAGGAGTGAGAGGGAGAGAGAGTGGAGAGAAGGGAGGGAGAGACAGAGACACAGCGAGAGCGAGTGAGAGAGAGTAAGAGAGAGAGAGAGAAGGAGAGAGAGAGACGGAGAAAGAGAGAGAGAGGCCGAAGTGCGCCCCGTCCCCCACGAGGCCCGCCTGGCACCCAGCCTATCAGCCAGCGCGCGCCCGGAATGCACCCGAGCTCGCCTGCCTTACTCCGGGACCTGCATGCGGCGCGCGCTCGCTCCCGCCCCGCTTGGTTTACTCACCGAAGATGGCGGATGAGGTTTGGTGGTGTAATCCAGTTTGAATCGCGGTCCACACGCTTGCTCGAGGGAAAACCGGCCGAACCCGCGACCAGAGGAAGGCGCAAAACCTCAAGCCGACACGAGCTACGAAATGACTTACACCGGCACAGCGGAGCGTCTTGCGAGTCCCCCCTAACACAGCTTATCACCGACTGAAGCCGCCAGCCGCTACGCCCCGCGCTGCCTGGGTTGCCAACACATACAACACACACACACACACGCCTCTGACCACGCCGGCCCCTCCCTCGTGCCCCCGTGCGCCCTGCTCCCCCCACTCCCCACTCCCCACCCTCCACCCCCGGCCCCAAAACACATGCTACCTCTTATCGAACTAATGCCAAACAGCGGCACTTCCCTGGGTCCTTTTGCCCTCCACGGCACTCTAGAGCCGGATAACTGAAGCCTGCCGCGACCAGATGCCGCTGGGACGGAGAGGGAGAGGAATAAAGGCGAAATGAGAGGGTTTCTCGACGTAGCGGAGGCCGCCAGCCCTCTCGACGCCCAAGCTGCCGCTGCAACAGAAGTAACCGCCAATACATTCAATGCAGCGGCAAGTAGGTATCCCGGGCCGACCTCCTCCTCCTCCTCCTCCTCCTCCTCCTCCTCCTCCCCTCCTCCTCCTTCTCCTTCTCCTCCTCCTCTCCTCCTCCGCCTCCCTCCTCCTCCGCCTCCTCCTTCTTCTTCTCCTCCTCCTCCCTCCTTCTCCTGCTCTCCTCACTTCTCTCTCTCTCTCTGTTTCCACCTCCTCCTCCTTCTCCTTCTCCTGCTCTCCTCTCTTCTTCTCTCTCTCTCTGTGTTTCCATTCGTATCTTCGATTCTCTCTAATTCCTCTTTCTCTTTTTTTTCTCTCTTTCCTCCCTTCTGTTTAGTATTTTCCTTCTTCACCTTCCCCGCCTTTTCTACCCTTCCTCCTCCATTCCTGCTTTTTTCCTCTTTCTCCTTCCTCTCCTCCTTATTTATCCCTTCCTTTTCCTCTTCTACTTCCCCCTACGCACTTTCATTCTTTCTCTTTCCTCCTTTTTAACTACTTCCTCTCCTTATCTCTCTCTTCTCCTCCTCCTCTTCCTCTCCTCCTTATTCCTTCTCTCCTTCCCCCCCTTGCCTCCACCCTTTCTCCTCGTTACCGCAAGCTCCCCTTTCCTCCTCTCCCCCCCCTTCCTCCCCTTCCTCCCTCTTTGAACCTTGCCATGGATGCGGAGGAAGGGGGGAGGGGGCTCTCTCAGTCCCCCCCTTTCTCTTTACTATTATTATTATTATTATCATAATCACTGTTATTGTTATTATCATTATTGTCATTATTATTATTACTACTACTACTACTACTACTACTACTACTACTATTATTATTATTATTATTATTATTATTGCCATTTTTATTGTTATCATCATTACTTTTATCATCATCATCATTATAATTGTTATTATAATTATTGCTACTATTATTATTATTATCATTTTTATTATTATTGTTGTTATTATTATTAACATCATCCTCATCATTATTATGATTATTACTATTACCATCGTTGTTATTATCATTGTTATTATTATTATTGTTACTATTATGTCATATATAATTATTATTATTATTATTATTATTATTATTATTATTATATTATTATTATTATTATTATTATTATATTATTATTATTATTATTTATTATTATTATTATTATTATTATTATTATTATTATATTATTATTATTATTATTATATTGTTATCATTATTATTATTTTTCTTTTATTATTATCGATATCATTTTTTATTATTATCATTATCATTATTACCATTTTTATTATCACAATTATTTTGTATTATTATTGTTATAAGTATTTTTACCATTACTTTTATCATTTCATTATCATTATCATCATTATCATTATTATCATCCTTATCATAATTACTATTATTATTATCATTATTATAATAATTTTCATTGTTAATGTCATTATCATTACCATTATTATCATTATAACTGTTCTTACTATTTTCATCATTATTATTATAATCATTATCATTATTGTTGCTCCTATTATCATGATTATCATTTTTGCTGTTCTTGTCGTTATTATCATTACCATAATTATTGTTGTTGTTTATTATTATTGTTATAATTTAGGTCGACATTAATATCTTAATCACTATTCGCATTATCCATTGTTATTGTTGTATTAATCTATACAATTACTATTGTTATTGCCATTGTTACTCTCATCACTATAATGATAATGATAATAATGATAATTACTAATATTATCATCCATTTCATTATCATGATCTCATATATCATTATGTATTATTATCTATTATCATTATCATTGTTTTAATAATTATCATTACTGTTGTTAACAGTATTATTATCATCAATATTATTATTATTTCTTTTACTATTATTGTTATCATTATTATCATTATCCCTATCACTCCTATCAGTGTTATCATTATCATTATTCTAATATT